TATATATATATATATATACATATATATATATATATATATATATATATATATATATATATATATATATATATATATATATTTATATATATATTATAAATAAACTTTTGAATAAATATATACATATCTATATAAATATGCTTCATGCTCAGGGTGAGGTGAAGCGATGGTGTGGTAGACTAGATAGTTTTAAGTGCTTGCATTCCTCGCCTCCAGCTGTCACTGCTATTGCGGAAAAGGGAGCAGCTCTGCATAAACTCCCTTGCCAGTTTATATTATCTAGACTTCTGCAATGCCTCCTAATGGCCACCCATGGAAAGTGGGTACCTTGTAGTACCACGCAGAAGGACGCCCTGCAGATACTGAGTCATGGCCCACCTGCGTGTGCACTCGCCCTGGCTCCTTACCAATTCCTGCCCCTCAGCCCTCTTGGAGTTAATGATCGGCTCGGGGGAGGCGGGCCTTGCTAGTCCTAATTCACTGGCAGTTAAGTATAAATGCTAGAGGGGAGTATACTGCCCCCCTACAAGTGAGGCGGCCTGTGGGTCTCGGTGGGAGGATTGCTGGGATGCAAGATGGGAACGGGAGTTACTCGTCCAGCCTGCGCCCTGGCAGCCGCCAACCCAGTGTGAGGCCTGTGGGCCAAAGCCCAAGGGAACCCCACAATTTGCTTCCCCCCTTTATATGGAGCAACATCTCCGAGGGTGGCAGATGTGTCGTCCACTCGGAGCGACTGCCCGAGGTTGAACCTCAGGTGGATTATCTAGGTAGGAGCTTGGAACATCTGGTCTTTGCAGCAGGATTAGCAGTTGCCCTTGCTATCGAGGGAACTGAAGCAGTTGGGAATTTAAGTGCCTGCCGTCTTGGAGGTGAGACCTGACAGTGTCACAACCATTATGGGTGGGTACATCTACTCTCTATGGGTGGGTACATCTCCATGGAGTAGCCATAGCCATCTCCAGCCAACCTCAACCATCGGTAGTAGAAGTAACACCAGTTGACGAGAATATTATGACATTGAATCTCAAGCATACTTTTGGCTTCGTGTTTTTATTGCTGCATATGCTCCTACCGATGTTTGTGAAATTGATGAGAAAGAGTTCTACGCCAAACTCACATCTGTGGCAGACAAGTGTCCCCGGCGAGACATCAGTGCGGTATCTATCTGTGATCTAGCAGACTGCAAGCTAATCTCAGTAGCGAGAACACTCAATCTCCAACCATGTTTGTAAATGTTGGGCTGAGTATTTTGAGCAGCTGTATCAGGTAGACCCTCCAGCGAGGAATCTCCTATCCTAATTGAGATTAGGGTAGCGATCTCTAAACTCAAGAATAGGAAAGCTGAAGGCATATGTGAAATCTCTGCTGAACTGATAAAGACTGGGAGTGAACCTATGGCATGGGGTTTGCATGCAGTCCCTATGCCAGTTGGAGCGGTATGAGACCTGTTTCTTGCATAATCCAGGACTGCCAAGTCAGGCTACATGGGCACCTAGCTCATTTCCCTGTGGATAACCCTGCCCATCACATTATCTCTGTACGAGACAATCCTGGCAGCTCGACAAGACCTGCCGTGAGGAGCTAGAGATGGGCAGAAGGTCTTGCTGAAAGCTCACCATGAAGGATCCCTGTGGCAGGAAGCGAAGGATAACGTCAGTTAACGTTAGCCCGCCGATAATGATGATGATGACAATATATATATATATATATATATATATATATATATATATATATATATATATATATATATATATATTCATATATATTTATTTATATATACAATTTATCTATGTATATGTATATATGTACATATATACATATACACATAAATATATGCTCATATACACATTTAAATATATACACATATACACACATACATACACACACATAAATAAATATATATACATATATATGTGTGTTTGTATTCATATGTCTATATGTATATATTTACATATGGGTACATATTAATGTGTGTATATATATATACATATATATATACGTATATATGTGTATACATATATATGTATATACGTATGTGTTTTTGTGTATATAGAGACATACATAAATATATACATATTTACAAAAACACAAATATATACACATACATACATACACATATACATACGCACAGACACACACACACACACACATATATATATATATATATATATATATATATATATATATATATATATATATATATATATATATGCCTTTTCTGGAGCATCCCGAAACAATTTGATACAAGTTGTTGCTACAAAACACGATATCATCGAAGCAGGCCGGGCCATAGCCGAAGGCCCGGGCGAAGCTAGAACTTCGCAAATCGCAATCGATCGATCGAAGCTTGAACTGACATACAGAGTGTTGAGTAAAGGAAAGTTATTTTATATTTAATTTCACATGAAAAAGTCAATAGAAAACCATTAAAGAACTTAATATGTTAGCATGATTTTTAATTACAAGCAAAACATTTTGGAAGCTTTAAATAAAATGGAAAAAG